TTACTTTTATCTAAAAAAAATCTTACTAGCCACAATTACAAAAGAAATTTAAAAAGCTTGAAGCTAGTTTAGAAAAAGAGAGAAAAAAGAAAACAAAAACAAAAGAAAAAAAAAACAAAAGATAAAAAAAAAAAAAAGAAACAGAAAGTAGAATCTAAACTCTATTTTATTATAACTAGAAAAAAATAAAAAAAACATAAAAGAAGAAAGAAATGAATAAAATTTAAGTAGCACTATTATAATCTGTACTAGGCTTAAAAATTATATACCAAATACAATATTTGTATATCTTTACTGTAAAGCTATGCCTTACCGGAAAATTTCTTCTTGATTATCTGAATATTTATATATAGCTTATTAGATAGAGTCCTATTTAAGATGGTGTGACCAAGATTACAGATTAGGATCCAACTGATAGTAATAGCAGTTAACCATATCACAGAGCTATTTTTTGAAAACGTCATTCATGGAATTCGAACTCTAGACCTGCTATCTGGAGGTGTGACAACTCCACCACTTCACTAAGTCACCACACCCTAAAACAAATCAATTTTAAGCTTCTAGAAATATCTTATTTGTTAATATAAAAACAAAATGCTAGAATTGAAAGAATCAAATGATACAAATAAGCCAATATAAAATATTTCTGTTTTAAATATATTTAAAAGCAAAGCTCTAAGTTAAAAAAAAAAAAAAAAAAGTATACGATATATAGTATACAGGGTTGGCATGGACCGGTCAGTGGTCAAGCTTGACCAGACCAGTTTGACCAATTTGACCAGTTGGTTAAAGGGTTTAGTATTGGTCAAATTGGTCAAAGAATATTTAAATATATATACTATATATATATATATATATATATATTTTTTGAATACTAATTTATTTAATTAATAGACTAAACCATTTGACCAATTTGACTAGACCATTTGACCAATTTGACCAGACCAATTTGACCAATGAATTTTTGGTTAACCAGTAATTTGACCAACCCTGTTTATATTGTATAACTCTTGAATATGCCAAAAAACAGAAAAAAAATTCAAAAAACATTTTTAATTAATATTATAGAAGAAAAAAAAAACATTGGTTAATGTTTATTTAAGAAATTTAATAACCAACATGTTAAAAGCAATTCTACTCATCTAATTTCTAAAACTAGAAGAAAAAAAACAAGAAGCTAAATACTTAACAATATCCTTAAGCAAAGCTTGGAACTAATAGCAGCATAGTTTATACTATATAACTCTTGAATATACCAAAAAATTCAAAGAACACTTAATTAGTATTCTGAAAGAAAAAAAAAACATTGGTTAATGTTTATTTAAGAAATTTAATAACCAATATATCAAAAGCAATTCTACTTTTCTAATTTTTAAAACTAAAAAAGAAAAAAACAAGAAACCAGATGCCTAACAACACCCTTAAGCAAAGCTTAGAACCAATAGCAGCAAAATCTATACTATAACTCTTAAATACACCAATATAATAATTTATTTAATGCTACAAGTGATTCTTCAAGATTACCTAAAAGCACAATATTCTACTTATTAGAGTGTTTAAATTATTAGAGAATCTTGTATTTAATAATAAAAATAAGACTTAAACTTTTTTTAATATAAAGCCTTACTTATGTTTATTTAACACAAATTAATTTAAATTTAGAAGATCTTAAACCTAAAAATCTAATTTATTTTTACTTGTGGTTCTAATGGTTCTATGTATTAGTTAAAGTACAATAACGATGATAAAAGTTAATTAATATTAGATCAAGATTATATATTACCTGATTTAGAAATTATAATTATTAAATATTACTTAAGAAGTTGACCATCAAATAATTATTTGATTGTGTCAAGCACTAATTGTAAAGCACTAGTTCACAAGGCTAAGGTGCTGAAGGTCACAGTTACACTAAGTTTTCCTTATAATTAAAATGTATACAATATTTTTGTTGTTTGTTTGTTTTCTAATTTTTTGTGTTACAGATTACGGGAAAGAGTTTTTTTTTACTTTTTCTTTTTTTTTTGTATTTGTATTTCTTTGTTTATTAATATTCTTTGGCTTGTTTAAAGTCTTTCTAGATTGTTATTACTTGGAAGAGCTTTTGAAGCTTCTAAAAATCAAGTTCTATTATACAGTATATATGATTATTACTTATATATATATATTAGCTAATCATTTACTCATTTTCAATTTCTTTCTTTTAAATTTGCTTCTTTATTTTTTGTTAGTTCTGATTTTTTAGACAAACATTGGATCTTTTATTCTTTTTTTATATTTGTTGTTCATACCTTCCTTATTACACTTACAATAATCTTATCTTTAGTCTTTAGACCTCCTTTTCTTTGGTCTCACTTCAGATTCTTTTACACTTTAGACTTTACTATAAAGATCACAAGTTGAATCAATTAATATCGAGTACATATCGAGAGAAAAGTTTTCCAATATATACTTGTTAGTTTGCCATAGATCTACCAACCTGCTGAATATTAGCAGTATTTTGATAGCATATTGGTAAGATATTAGGAGGTAGATCGATATTAGCAACATAAGAGTAAAATATTGAGATACCTCTGATGTCTTACTTTTAGACCCAGAGTGTTAAGAGTAAGTTATAAGAGTATCCTAATATTGTACTATTATGTTACCGATATCGATCTACCTCCCAAAATCTTACCAAAATTGCATCAGATATCGAAGAAAGGAATACGCTAGTACAACAAGCAAAGTTACGAAGAAACAGAAAAGAACAAACTTCGATATTAAAAATGTGACAGAAGAAAATTAGCAAGATTTCAGAATAGCACTAGATAAAAAAATCGAAACTAAACTAAAGAAAAGAAAAGCTGACAAAGACAACATAGATACTCTTTAAGAAATAGTTGAAAAAGCAATCATTAAAACAGCTAATAAGCACTTGCCAAAAAAGAAAAAGTTTGTAGTACTAGACGTCAATATGGAGTTTTGGTATTTTACATCTGAAACAGTTTAAAATTGCTAATCAGCTGCTTATTATTACGTTCTAAGACTTTTTGTATAAGTATTTATAATTATTACCTCTTTTCTGATGGTAATGGTAAAATTCAGGTACTATTCATAATAATGGTCATAGTCAATTTTAGTACGCATTCAAACTAATACCAGCCCAAAAAAAGATTTTTTAATCAGGCGGCCCAACGTCAAACGGAAAGAATAGTAGTAGTAGTGCGTAAGTTCGCTTCGATAGTTGACGGCTGAGTATTTTAGCAGAAATAGAAGTTTAAGTGAATTTAAGAATGATATCCCTTCGTATGCTCGTTGAATTGAATAGGGATTTAGGTCGAAATAAAAACAACGACAAAACGAATTAGGATATACATGTTGGCAATTGTGATCTTCATTGAATTTAAACTTCTGCCCATACCTTTATGGAGCTTAAAGCAAATCCACATGCGTGTGACCAACAAAATCACTTGATCAGATGTGATTGGTTAAATCTTTAGCTTCGACATACAGTATTTCTATATCGATATATAATATTAAACAAGGTATACCGATACTGATACAATTTTTTTCTTTATTATATAAAATATAAGTGATGTACTCCCAACGCACTAACCCTGTAAAATAGAGCAGGGGCAACGGGTAAAATCAACGAAGAATTCTGCTGATAATATTCGGGATATAAAGAATAGGATAAAATGTAGTAATAATTTTTTACGTACTAAATTTTCATAATGTAATATGATCATTCTAATAATTATTTTAATTATATAAGAAAAATTTTTTTAGCGCAGAAAGTGAGAAGTGGGGAACTAGCTCAGATGGTAGAGCGCTCGCTTCGCATGAGAGTTTGCGAGAGGTACTGGGTTCGATACCCAGGTTCTCCATGATAACCCTGTTTTTTTGAGTTCATCCCCTCCTTTTAAGGAGGCCCTTATTTCATCGTTGCTGATTCATATCGATATTTAGTATAATCCTCTAATTTTTTCTTTCACCATTAGCGTTAACGCTTGTAATCCCATCCGTTAATATTTTGTCTCAATATGATGAATTTAATTAAAATAAAATTAATTTGTGTTTATCATGTTGTTTAACGTTAAATTATAATTTTTAATCGAGATGTTAATTTTTTTTTTTTCACGTTTCTTTTTTTTTTTTTTTTTAACTATTATTCAGCCAAGATAATTAAATTTCAAAATTAAACTTTAACCTCGAATAAAAAAGTACGTTAAAATTTTGATATTAACTATTTAGAAAAGATTTTTATTTAAAGTATCAACTATAATGAATTCTTTACAGTGAATTTATAAAACCATTATTGCTAAGATTAATAATAAAATTATGTGGAAATAAATTGCATTTAAATTACTTCGTGGATCAAGATTTTACAACAAAGGGTTAATATTATAGTTAAAAATGTATTTGCGATATTAGCTCTAAACGTCCATTTTTAAATTGCAATGCAACATCAAAAAAGTGTACAAAAAGTGCAAATATGGAATCTTTATGAAAATCTTTAACATGAATGAAATGAATGAATGAATGAAATTGAAGATAAACTAAACTAGTTACTTTGTATTCCTCGAATCCCATTCACTGAAAACAGATCAGAAAGCTTCGTTCCATTTAAATGAAAGATCATATTCTAAATTACTAGATATTTACTCTTTTTGTATCTTATCTAAAAAATAATAATTTTAATAAAATTATATACTTATCGTTATGATAACTTACGATTAAATATGTACGTACAGTATAAATTATCAGTCTAACAAAATTTGAAATAATTCACAATCTTGATAAAATTTCTCAAAAAAAACTTAGTCGACTTCTTATTGATGAACCATATAATACAGTATATAGTAATAATTATGATCTTTTATTTACTTCAAATAAAGAAAAAGTTATACATTATTGAATATATTATTATCTTACATTATTATTATCATATCTGTTTCTAAACATATTAACTATTCAAAAAAAAAAAAAGTAATAATTTATAGAAAAATACATAAAAATTAAAGGATCATATTAAAATCACACTCATTACAACCTTCACAACACGTTTGACCGCAAGATTCATCACAACATTGTAATTCATGACCACTTTCATATGCACCTTCAAAATCATTTGAACCTGCTTGATTATGAGATATAACATGTGGAAGATCACATCCACCACATCCACCACAGTCGCCACATCCACCGCAACCGGGTATTAAGAGAGGTGCATCGTCACAAACATCGACAAAACCTCCACAACTGTCACATGGCCCACAACCAGGACCTAACATTGCAGTATCTACAATTGGTGATATAAACCGTCTAGATAATCGTGCACGATGAAGATTGTTCATGTTTGGACCAGCATATCTTTTCTTTTTAGAAATACTCCTAAAATCGTTATCTCGAGCATTATTGTTTAAGTCACGACGATTATTTCGTTTATTGTATTTTGAATTTGGAATTGAATAAGCAAAGAGAGATGGAATTAGCACCAAGAGAATCAAAAAAGTTGAAAGGAGACTGTAAGGTTGATGCATTTTGTTTATTCTTTTTTTTTCAGGATAGTTTATATTAAAGTTAATCGTTTAATTTGTAAAAGGGAAAAAAATATTTTAATTGCTTGAATCTAAGGAAATGGTGAAAATTTGCGACTTTAATATTTCTTTTTTTCATATAGAAAATTAATAAATCTTTGACGTGATAAATTTATTGAAATCTTCCATTTTATTAATTGTATTAATTTTATTAATTTATTTAATTAATTTAATGATGACTTATAAATCTCTATTATGTTATTCCCATTGTCTTTATCGCTATGCCATGAAATCATCATTTTCAGCGACCAATATTGATTGATAAGTTTTATTATTATATTACATCCAAGATCAGATCGCATTACATTCAGAGTGAAATTTTCAATGCGCGAACCCTGGTTACGTAGTAAAAAAAAATTTCTATATACACGTACTCTTTTGAACTGATAATACGTAATACAGCGATAGTAATGTTACTATCGGAAGAAAGAGCCAATAATTTAAAAATTCTTATCTTCAAAAAAATTATTTTTAAACCAGAATCAAGAAATTTCGCATAATGGTGATCAGATGATTATATGTATGTACGTACACGCGTACTAATTATACGATTGCAATTTTTATTGTATATACAATATATATTAATACATGTTGACAAAGGTCAACGGATCGAAAAGAAAGGTTACACACCACCCCTGGCCCTCAGATTATGGGGCGTGGGTCGGGATCAAAGAATGAAACAATCAGTTAAATTGCATGAATCGACACGCAACCAGAGAAACGTAATAGACAAGCCACCGACCACTATCAATATATAAATAACTGACAACAAGTTTTTCGACACTTTTTCCCACTTCGACACAAATTTTCTCTCCCGTCACGCACTGTAGTCTCCTGATTCTGACATTTTCCTATTTAACAACCGGCCTGCTTCGAGCAGCTGCGTCTCGCTTGTTCTGCTGTTACAATGATATCTGGTGCAATCTCATTTGCTAATTTTCTGGAAGCATATCATCGTTTCAGTTCGATTTACTTGGCTAAAATTACTCATAATGTATTCTGCAGACTTCATGTCCGGCACCTTTAGCTAAGCGGCATTTATCCAACTACATGACCAGTCGTACTGAGTAAACCACTTTATACCTTGTCAAAAATTGTCAAAATTGAAATTGTCAAGAAATTATATGAATATACAATATAATTTTATACGAACTTATATGTATACACTGATATTCGGCATAATTTAATTTTAAGACTCATCTCATCTTGTTGTCGTTTATGCATACGCATGCAATTTTTTTTATTAAATCAAAACTATCAAAAAAAAAAAAAAGAAACAAAGAAAGAATTATCAAAATAAACCTTTCCTAACCAAAAAATTAAAATACTAAAATTAGTTCTTTAAGTAAGTAATTTAGTTTTGGATAGTGTTCAAATCTAGATTAGATGTTAGTTTGGATATCCAGACTAACATTTATAACTAAAATTAACTATCTGGATATTATCAATAGTTCGAGCCATACAGTATATCTAAACCAAACTACTGTAATATTAACAAATTTGAAAAAAAAAATTCTTTTAACCAAATATAGGAGCATCCCCTCTCTTGAAAACGTACTTCAAAGTAAGAGGTTTTAAGATATGAATTGTAGTAACTACGGCAAGAGCAAAAGCAGTCCAACGTATAATAGCATCTTGTTGTTCACTCCAAACTCCATATAAAGTCCAAGCAATTACAGCTGCTCCAGCAAGATCGCCTTTAAATTTCTCGATATAACCAATCGCTGTGCACTCCATGAAAAGAAGTCCTAAAATCACTAAAATTTGAACAAATATACTAGGACTTTCATAATAAACAGTAGCTGCTTCAATAGTTGCTTCGTTATTGACAGTTTCAATAGCGACAGGATCATAAGCAATCGGTCTATCAGGCGTAAAAGTTGCGTATATTGTAAGAATTGCAATTATTAAAATCCAAGCATGATATAAAGAGAATGGAGCATGAATAAACATAGTTTGAAGTAAACTATTAGCGGGATAACGAGTTTTCAAATTCCAATAAACATAAGAGATCTGGAAAAAGATGAATAAAATGACGACAAATCCAAGGAAGAGAAAATCTATTTCCTTTAAAGAAGTAATTGAAAATTTTTAAGAATAAATTTAGAGATCTGGTAATGTAATAATTTATGACAAAATTTTGAATATACGAATTTTAAGAATATTTGAAATTTAAATAATAAAAATAAGATACCCAAAGAAATAGCCATAAAGAATTCAACATTGCGACTGCTATAAAATGAAAATTAATTCCTCGGGCAATTATTTCATCGTTTTCTGGGTAAAATTGATAAATAACTATGCAAGATATAATTTAAAATGTTAAACTTTTGAACAAGATTTTATTAATTAAACCGAATCGAAAGTCACATGTTGACCCACCGAAACCTCCTAATAAGAAATGAATAAGAAACCATGCGTAGAACGTAAAATAAGCAGGAGTAATATACGTTGTGTGGGAGAGAAAATATGGACTTTTCTCCTAAAAATTTGCAATTAAAAAAAAAAGTAAAACATGTTAAGATAACTTTCGCATCTTATAGAATACTCCAAACAACTGAAATAACATAGCGCGTAAACGCAGTGTACTCAAAAATTATCAATTGTTATAAAAAATCAATTATCACGAAAAAATGAAAAATGAAACAATTACAAACCTGGTTAGGCCCGAGGTCACTATAAATATTAGTTCCCAAAAGAAATGCATATGCTAACAAGTTGCCGATTTTCCAAAATATTTCCATTTTCTTTTGAATGATAGAAAAAAGAAAAATATTTTTTACAATAAGTAATAATCGAAATTTTTTTTAAACCAAAATAAAGACAAGGATAAGAAGAGGGGAATGTATGAATTTCTCAACGAATGTAAAATCATTTATTTTGGGCAAAAGAACTGGTACATTGCCAGTAAGCTAAGCTCTAAGACATATACACAGGCAGTGCTGATTCATGTCTTATGAAAGCTACTTATGACATTTTTCAAGTCATGGATGAACGTTTTCAGGCTTTGAATGTAAATATTTGGACAATAATCACCGCGCCAATAAGTACGTGTTTGTAATGCTAAATGGTAATTCGTTTTCTTGTTTATATTAAATAAAATCGTAGATATTTTTTTTTTTTTAACGAGATATGATGTTTTAATATTTAAAATAATGCGTGTCAATACGACTGAATAATTGTTCGGCCTTTCCATTTTTGTGTATATGCGTAAGATACATAGTTAAAAGAATTCTTTATTATTATTAAATTTCATACTTTTTTTAATACAAATTTCGCGAGAACTCATTGGGATTTTAGGGATAGTTCAGTACTAACTCTTTGAAACGTGAAATAAAAAGCAATATCCTTATCAAAGCTTGGTGCTAAATTCAAGCAACAGAATACCCACCCAGCTTTTTATTAACCCTATAAGAAAAATGGTTCGGATCGGTACGGGTTGGTTTCGGATAGGCACGGACCTTTGTGGCACGGGTCAAGATCCGGATTTGTACGGGTATGGTCCGAGTTGGTACGGATTCGGTGGTCCGTGTGGGACCGTATGCCCGTGCCAATTGGACCGTAAATGGCACGGGTTTTGCAGCAGTTTACTAGTCGAATCGGCACGGGATTTGGCACGGGTAATGAAACGTAAATTCACGTGCCACCGCAATAACAAATAACAAACATGTTAAAACATAAAATTTATATTAGTAATCAATATAA